TGCTTCTGGCATGCCCATTATTCTTATATTGCTCTTTCTGATGGAGTCACAAAGTTCTTGTGAGCTCTTTCATTTTTTTGAACTCTCAAGTCCCTCTCTTCTTTGATCTGTGTCTTTTCCGGATTTCTATCTTCGATGTCACTGATTCTTTCCTCTATCTGATCAGCTCCATTACCTAAACTGGCTGTTTCATTCTTCATTTCTTTTATTGAGTTCTTAATCTCCAGAAATCCTATTTGGTTCTTTTTTAAAATTTCAATCTCTTTGGTAAAATGTTCATTTTGTTCTTTGGTTATGTCTCTGAGTTCATTAAACTGCCTGTCTGTGTTTTCTTCCATCTCGTTTTTTAAGAACTGCAATCTTGAATTCTCTGTCATTTAAGTCACATATTTCCATGTCTTTAACTTTATTTTCTGGAGACTTTTAATTTTCTTTCTGAGCTGCCTTGTTACCTTGGTTATCCATAGCAATTAATGATTTATTATTTCTCTTCCTGGGCATCTACAAGAGTGGGTTCTGCAACAGGTTGGTAGGAAGATGTCTTTCTTTTGCTTTCCAATAGGTATTGGCATAATGATTTAATTTCTCTTCTACTGCAGCCTTTTATTCTCTCTTATGCTGTAGTGTTATGTTTTCTCTGCACTGTTCCGACTTCTCATACATGGGGAGATTCCCTGGAAGGTGGGTTTCTCCTCTGTGAGCAGGCCACCTGGGTCTCAGGGCACCACCTCTGTTGGGGGTTGTGGAGAGTTTCTGAAGTTCCGAAGCTCTTCCTGCACCAGATTCAGGGCCTGTGTGTTTCAGCAGCTGTTTACCCATGGAGGTATCCACCCAGGGAGGTAGGGGCAGGGGCGGGGTGGGTTGTGAGAGGTGGCTTTGAGCAATGGTAGCAACCACCAGCACAGCTAGTCCTGCGCCCAAGGCTCTCTCCCCTTTGCCAGAACTAATAGTTGGGCTGCAAGTTTGTGGCTGTGGGCCACAGTTTTCAGAACTGCAAATATTCTGTTCTTTTGATCTGACACTGCTATCTTTCAGCTTCTATCACTGGGCAGGCAGAGGTGGGGTGAGCTCTGGGCGAGTAGGGAGGTGTTGGCTAGGCTCGGTGCCTGTGCCTTCAGTCCTCTGCTTGGCAGTGAGGGCTTCCATCACCATTCTCACCCTTCTTCCCTCTTTGCTTTGAGGTCTCAGCCGAGAACATTGGGTTCAGCCGTGTTAAACGCTGATCCCTCAGGCGGGACTGTGGGCCATAAGGGGAGTGCCAGCAGTCCAGTTCTTCCCTCTCCCGTGACTGCGGTAGCTCCGGAACGCAGGGAGCTCGGGGCTCCGGTCTGCGCCCCGCGGCCCCATGCGGCCCGTGTCTCGGCTCTTCCCACTTCCTTCCTCCCATAGTCGCCCAATCTGCCCACCTTTAGATGATTTCAGTTGCGCGTCTCTTAGTCTTGCCTGTCTACTGTGCAGAGAGTCCTTTGTGGAATTATAGTTGTTCATTTGTTGTAAATTCCAGGGGAGATTTCAAGAGGCTCACCTCCCGCCGCCATTCCTATGACATCACGTCAATAATGGACGTTGTTAAAGTCAATTTATTAAACTGGAATATTGATTGTGGATCAGAAAAAATACTGTATCAATGTTAAATTGACTAAAGTTTATAAGTTTACTGTGGTTACCTGAGAGTACCTCCATAGAAAATAGACATTGATGTATTTTAGGGTAAAGGGCTATTGTCTTAGTTTGTTTGGGCTGCTATAGCAAAATACCACAGACTGGGTAGCTTATAAATAACAGAAGTTTATTTCTCACAGATCCGGAGGCTGGAAGTCCAAGGTTAAGATGCCAGCATGATCGCATTCTGGTGAAGACCCTTTTCGTGGTGGTTCATAGCTAATGCCTTCCCACCATGTCCTCACATGGTAGAAGGGGCTAAGAATCTCTCTGGAGCCTGTTTCATGAGGCACTAATCCCATTCATGAGGGCTCCACTCTCATAACGGAAGCAACTCCTAAAGGCCCCACCTACTAATACCATCACCTTTAGGGGGTAGGATTTCAACATATAAATTTGGGGAGACACAAACATTTAGACAGTAGCAACCATAATTTATACACTGTATTCTTAAATGGTTCAGAGAGAGAGAGAGAGAGAGAGAGAGAGAGAGAGAGAGAGAGAGAGAGAGAGAGAGAGACAACACAAAATGATAAAGCAAGCAAGGCCAAATGACAATCTGGCAAAGAGTATATAAGTGTTCAGTTTACTATTTTTACCTTTGCAATTTCTTTATAAGTTTAAAATTATTTTCAAATTAAAAGTTAAAATATACATTGTTAGCTAGGAGTGTTTAGAGTTCTGTGCTCCAGCCCTGTGCCAAGTTGCATCAGAAGTTTCAGAGAATTCTACTCCAATAATAATGTGGTGCCTTGTTGAGGGAGTCTTTCTTAGCATTTGAAACACTAGAACTGATATTTGTGTAAAAGCAAAAGAACTAAGCATTTTATGGCAGGTATAAATTTGTAATGAGGAGTAACTCTAAAATGGCCCCATATTTTCTGTTCAGGAATATATTTGTCTTATAAAAACTAAATGCTGAACAGAAGAAAATGAAAATCATAATCAAGTGAGCAAGGGAAATTCTAATAGTTAATAAAGCAGATAATTCATAAAGGAAGTGTTCATGACAGACATGAAATTTGCTTTTGGTATAGACTTCTTAAATTGTAAGATACATAGAGAGCAAAGCTGATGGAAAATATTCACTTTTCTACTGCCAGAATAGTGTCTTAAGTTCCTGGAGGGTTAAATGCAGGCTGGATTACTTTTTTAAGACATGAAATAAAAAGGATGAAAATTATAGGAGAATTTGGACTAAGCTAATTTTCCAATTGTTTTAAATCTGACAACAGATAATTTTATGATGCTGTGTGCATAAAATTGTTTTCCTCTTTTTTACTGCTTTGAAAAACAGTCTTTAATAACAATTTCCTATGCAAACTGGTACCCTGATCTGGCTACCCTGAGTCAGACTCGCTCTTCCTTTGGTTTGCTCGGGCCTGACAAATTATGCAGTCATCTTCCTGAAGGTAACCCTGTGCTTAGGCGCTTCCCTAAAGGATGCTGGCATGTGAAAAAAGGAGGGGCATGCCAGTGGAGAAGCAGCAATGGAATGGGTGCACAGCTTAACTGCATAAGGAGAACACAGCCTGTTCAGGAAGCAATCCATACTATTGCTAATGGCACAGATAAGGAGTGAGCTCATAAGCAGCTTCTATGCCACACAAAAGTCTTGAAATTAAAATGGCATAACCTTTTGTCCGCATATCCTAAACTGGTAATAAGTATGTTGGTCACACAGTCATGATCCCATCACCTTTTCTTTCCCATCCTCTTACTTTCTTTCTTCTGTTTGAAACATTTCCTCCTTCCCTCTCTTTTCACTCCTGAATTTGCTTTATAATTGATATAGGTGTTTCCACTGCATAGAAATTATATTAATGCAAACTCCTTTGTGTAGTGGTCTCTCACTGATTTAGGAATATTGCCATAACTGCCTGAGAGTTATGGCGATAAAAGATTTTTGTGCTAGCCGGAAAACTAAAACCTGAAAGTCCAATGTAAGATGTTGGCATTTTACTGGGAGTCGATATGAGAAGTGACTGCTGGAAAATATTTTCTTTATCAATAATTGCTTTTTGGAGTTCATCTTAGTCAAGGAGAGCCAGTGAGAAATGATTATTGAGTTTGAAGGTTTTTTCTATCAATTAGCATGGCTCTCTCTCCCACAAGAGTCATTTTTTTAAAATTCATTTCTCAAGGACCATAGACAAGAGCTTTTCTATATCAAAATATTAAAAGAAAAGCACAAATTCCATCATAGATTCTTGGAAATCCCTCTTCTATTATTTCTATGGGGAGGGAGTGAGACTGTAATTGTGGCTTGTATGATTAATAATAAAATCTGGTGAAAAAAAGCCAGCAGAACTTGAAAATACAAAATATCGTTCTTAGTCTTGATAAGTCTTGGTACAACTCATTAAACCAGCCGCAACATGAATTGACATAACTTTTCAGGGACAAAGTGGACATCCATAAAAAATACTCTCTCCTAAAAGAGGCAGGGCATTTTTAGTGAGCCCTGTCCATGTCTGGACCATCGAGGTGACGTCTCAGACACAGTAAGTGGAGCAGGAGTGGAGGGAAGCAATAAACATGATTTTTACCTTTTGGAAGCATACTTTGAGGTGTAATACTAACCAAATGAGGCTCATAAAATGATAAAAGAAGTGATTGAGAAGTGATTTCTGTACAATCTTCTAAGGGAATGGCAGTAAGAAACATACAAAAGCTGTAGGAAGAATATCAGATTGTATTGGGACAAACTGTGTACCAGGTATCACAAGAAACACTGCCCAGACAGTTCTGTGGACCATTTTCTTATATTTAAGAAACACTAAACTTTATTTGCTGAATGAACTATATTTATTCTTTAGAAGCAGAAAAGTAAACCAGCTAGCCCCTCAAGTTTCCTGGGATTAGTTATCCCTTTTGATCACAGAATCTCAAAGCTAACAGGGAACCTTGGAGATCATCTACTTTATAAATGAGGACCCAGTTTAAATGACTTTCCAAAGTGTCATACCAGTGATAGATAAGTGGCAAAGTTGAAACAGCAAACCAGTTTTGTCAAACGCCAATGCACCATTATATTTTCACTGCACAAAACTACCTCCTTAGTCTATTTACACCAAATACACAGAAAGTTAAATTCCACCCCATTTCCAGATCCCACACCCCATGATGGTTTCACGACTTCTCCGCATGGTCGGGCCCCACAGAGGACAGATAGTAGGAGCACCATCTGCATGTTTAGTCCAGCTAAAACCCCCAAAATTACAAGCTTTGCTGAGGTCAAAGCTAGCCCGTCTCAAGCCCCCAGCTCACATGACTTATTTCCAGGAGACAATAGTGTATCTCACTTTTGACAGAATGTCTTCCTGTTTGCCTTGTAGGTTTCACAGCGGCAGCCTCCCTTGTGTCTTTGGCTTGGGCCTTGGCCTCTTACCAGAAGGCCCTCCGGGACTCTCGAGATGACAAAAAGCCCATCAGCTACATGGCTGTCGTCATCCAGTTCTGCTGGCACTTCTTCACCATCGCTGCCAGGGTCATCACCTTTGCCCTCTTTGCCTCAGTTTTCCAGCTCTATTTTGGGATCTTCATCGTTCTTCACTGGTGCATCATGACCTTCTGGATTGTCCACTGTGAGACAGAATTCTGTATCACCAAATGGGAAGAGATCGTGTTCGACATGGTGGTGGGCATCATCTACATCTTTAGCTGGTTCAACGTCAAGGAAGGCAGGACACGCTGTAGGCTCTTCATTTACTATTTTGTGATCCTTTTGGAAAACACAGCCTTGAGTGCCCTCTGGTACCTCTACAAGGCTCCCCAGATTGCAGATGCATTTGCCATCCCAGCGCTGTGTGTGGTATTCAGCAGCTTTGTAACTGGCGTTGTTTTTATGCTGATGTATTATGCCTTCTTTCACCCTAACGGACCCAAATTTGGGCAGTCACCAAGTTGTGCTTGTGAGGACCCAGTCACTGCCTTCACTCTGCCTCCAGAAGTGGCCACAAGCACTCTACGGTCCATCTCCAACAACCGCAGTGTTGTCAGTGACCGTGACCAGAAATTTGCAGAGAGGGATGGGTGTGCACCTGTCTTTCAGGTGAGGCCCACAGCCCCATCCACCCCATCATCTCGCCCACCACGAATTGAAGAATCTGTCATTAAAATTGACCTGTTCAGGAATAGGTACCCAGCATGGGAGAGACATGTTTTAGACCGAAGTCTCCGAAAGGCCATTTTAGCCTTTGAATGCTCTCCATCTCCTCCAAGGCTGCAGTACAAGGATGATGCTCTTATTCAGGAGCGGTTGGAGTATGAAACCACTTTATAAAACAAAAGGACTTGGAGGAGCCACAACCTCCAGATAAAGGGGTGACAACAGGGCTGTGGCAATAATGAAACTTCATCCTAAAGTAGGGCAATGAGCTGTCATGCTCTTAGTCTGCACATTATCATGATTATTGTCTGACCCTCCATCAGCTGACTGCCTGCTGCTGGTCTCCTTTCAAAACAGCAGCCCCGAGAGTCTCCTGCTCCACCTGAAGAGAACTTGTCAGCTCAGTAGACTCCTGGTTGCTACCAACTCCTCCTGCATTGTCTTTCAGTGAATGCACCAGAGGGTACTATGATTATGGAAAATGTTGCCTCTGATCAATAGGGTTTTGATGGAATTAACTGATCTTTGCATAAAAATATATCCAGCCATACACATACACACACATACACACATACACACACACATACACATATACTAACACACACAACACCAGTCTTCTGTAAAAATAGCTTAGGTGATTTTCTTCTTGATGCAAAGTGCTGATTCCCACAAGAATATAAAAACAAAGAGAGAGGCAATATATCCCTCAAGACTCCAGAAAAACAAACAGTACTGCTTAGAAAAAACTCATAAACCATTCTCATTTGGAAACCCATACCATGAGTGAAAAGCCTATCCAGTGGACAGCAAACTCAAGTGTTTACATGTGTATTAGAATTGATGAAATGGTTTGTTTTCAACACATTTCAGGATTGGTTTTTATTTAAAGTTTTCAGTTGAGAACATCTTTTATGACAGAAATCCTATGCAGCACATGTGTGGATTTTGGCAAGACCAAGGAGATCCATAACTTAGTGATGTAAATTAAATGGTAATCATGATTCAGTATTCAATTGCAAAAATTTAATACATACAGGAAGAAGAAATGGGCGGTGGGGTGGGAAGGCAAAATGAGCATCCGATTTCCCAGCTGTGCAGCTCACGTTGGAATGTAAAGTCAGGGCGGCAGGAGAGAATCGCCTGTAACTGGATGCATTCAGGTCGTGGAATGCATGGTTGCTCTATGATCGCAGGCAGGCACCTTTCCAGAACACGCCATGCCCCATCTTTCTAGTGCCAAACATCGTCCAACCACAGGATTGACATGGAAGCCCTGAACAACTGAGAATGAATGGCGCGAGCCCCACAAAAACAGAAGCTAGAGTGAACACTCAAGTTCTCCGTCGTGTACAGAGTCCCCCATGACCACCAATTCAAGGTCAAAGGCTTTTAGAGGCTTTGGGACACTTCTTAGTAAGTATGAGCAGACAAACGCAGTGAATATGCTATGAGAAAAACCCTTCTGAACTGAGTGAGGGCTTATCACTAGATCCAGCTAAGATTTGTATTTGAATCATTTGTAAAGTCGCACTCTTACAACAAGCTTCTGGTTTTAAATACCTCCGTACAAGCAAGTAAACATTCCCCGCTTTCTGTTCCCAGTGTCCTCGGTCATGGTGCTTTTTGTTGCATTAAAAGTGCCGGTCAAACTTTGATAGTATTTTTTTATAGTTGGTGCAGAGTGGAATAACTCATGGATTATTTCAATATTTTTGTAATAAAAAATATAGGGTATACATATAGACATCATCACTTTTTTTATAGATGTGGAATCGTTTAAAATACTTTCAGAATCATAATTACTTGGGATGTCAGAAACTGGTCCACAAATTCCATCAGCCTGCCTCAGCAGATTGAGAACACTTGTTTCTTGCAAGATCACCTTACTTTGCAGTGTCGGTGCCCCCAGGAACCTGGCCAGGGGTGCTATCAGAACATCAGGTGATGAGAGAATCAGCTTAACTAGAAAGGGCTTGTCAAGACTGGCCATTGTTTCCCAGGAAATCAAAGATGTAAGTGATTACTTTCATCCATCCATTATGACAAACCTGACCACAGTGGAAGATGTCTTAAGTTTCCTTCCCTGGTTTTATATTAACCCAACTGACATATTAAATATTAATCAAGTAACCAAAAAAAAAAAGAAAAGAAAAGAAGGAAAAGAGTCAGTTAAACTTAATTATTCAGTTATTGGGACTGTCTGATTCACTTAAAATAGTCAAGTTCTATACCCACCACCTCTAGTGGGTGTGTCATTCAGAGACTGCTGTCCCCATGATGATGTCCACAGGAAATGACAGAGCACTCAACCTAGGACTTCTTTTGATACAAAGTCCCAAAGTGATGTTTAAAACGTAGATGATTTTTATCGGTAGACATACTTTCCTAGTACGCCATGATTTGATCCTCCAAGCAAGATTTTCACTAAAATATAATAGCCTTTTGTTCGGATGTGAAAGATTACTTAGTCACCAGTAAAGGTCCAAGAAGACACTCTTCTTGTCAGCGTTGGTGAAAACATTCTACCCACATTGTAGAAGGAAAAAATGTACTGCCAAATTTTTCACTTTTGTGCAGAACCAAGAGTTATTAGCTTCATTATTTCTGAGACAACTTTTAATTGATGATCTTTGGAAATTGAGTTGCTCAGTTGAACTATACCTTTGATTCCATGAGCAAATAACAGCTACCAGTATAATAGTGTCAATCAACACAAAGGCAACAGGCCCCATCACTCTTCAATCATGTAAGTCCTAAATTATTTCTCAACTTGATCCTTCATTTAACATGTTAAGAGTTAAAACAAGTGCTATGTGAATAAAAAAATAATGTACTGTATTTTGTCTTGGAGGTGAGAATGAAGTCAAGAGGGTGTAAGAAGTTTGAATTTTTTAATAATTTCCCAAATACTGTAAATACTCTGTTATCCAACATACTAAAAGATTATGATGTTTTAGTTAGTCAAAAAAAACTTGTTAAGAAAATGACATCTGCAACATGTAATCAATTACAAATTTTGTCAAGATTAAAACAACAACAAAAATTACTTCCAAGGTAAAGCATGACTTAATCTTGCTTCCATGATTTAGAATGCACTGCACTGCCATTAGACTGTATTGTGATAACAAATTATTAGTTTCTAGGTACACAGATAACAGAGAGTTTAAAGTATTAGGATTTAAAAAGACATCGTCAATGTACAAAGAAACCAAACTTGATTTTTGTATGTATATTTTAGTTTTTCCTAAGATTTTGTTTTCAATCTGCCTTTAAGTCCTCCATAGAAAGTAACTGGGGATTCCAAAAAGAAAGAGCCATAGTTAGCATGCAAACTGGAAATGCTGGATTATTTTTCTCTGTGAGCTCCAACATGCTGTGCATGAGTTTATTAGATTCCTTTAAGAGAAGGAGTTTGCACTTAATAATCACTTTTTGTGTAGGACCATGAAATTTTCTAAAAAATATATGAATTAAAAAAATTTTTCTAATTAGCATTTCTAAATGAAACCATATTTAAGATCAAACCACACCACGACTAAGTATTTGTGTGGGAAAAAAATTCTTTTTCATGTAAGTCAAAGTTTGGTCCCCCAAAATGACTATGTTCTTTAAATTCTCTTTATATATCTACATTGCCTTACTGAACTGCAGTCTAGTTCAGAACATTGACTTTGCAGACACTCAGTTACTATTCATTCATTTCTGATAATGCTGTGAACTCAACAAATGAAATAACTTCTCTTACTGACAAGGCAAGAATATGCAGTTCAAGTATTAGCAAAATATAAAATATAATCTGAAAATAAAGTATAATGAAGGGTTTATTCTTAATTTCTAAATGCCCAATTTATTTTGATCTATGAATAAATGAAGTGATAGCACTGACCAATTAAAAGTAAAAACAAAATGTGAATGGGAATAATTTAAATCTCAATGACTGTTTTTAAAAAAAAAAAAAATATATATATATATATATATATATATATATGCGAACTTAATTGTCAGACCTCATATGTGTGTATTTATATATCATACACACAAAAAGTAACAGATTAAAAGGTAAAGTATATGCTCCCTTTCATGCGTATAAATGAGTATGTTATTGACACATGAACTTTTAGATAAAAAGCTTTTCCTTCATCCGTTTTCAACATCAGCCCAAGCTTACAATACCTGTCTATAAGACATCAACGCACCTGTGAAAATCAGTTGGTAATACCTAGATACAATTTAGCACTTTAGCTTGAATGAGCTTTATCACTCCTTAAGGATCTCATCTGTTAAGCAGCTGAAGAGAATAGTTTTGAGTCATTTCAGTTTCTTTCTCTGAATTGATTGAATTGAGTCCAGAAAACCTCTGATGTCTTACCAGAACTGTGTAAGGTTGCACACTGGCCTTTAAATGAACGGAATGCCATTTCGGTGGAAAGAAATTCTGACACAATGTTTAGACGAGAATCCAGAGGTTATTTTTTTCTAATGGACCATTTTCTAGACTAAATATGTGTTCCCCTGCATTCTCACACATCTTTCCCAAGCCGTTTCAGTTTCTATATAAAGCTTGAAGGAGATGCCTGCATTTTTATGATTCTGAGGAGAAGTCCTTAAAGCCTTTTTAAAAATAGCTCAGACTGCCTTTCAGAAATATAGCTGAGAGGATGGTTGAAGTGCATGGTGAAAACGCAGCAGGACTGAAGTGGTTGTTTCTGTAATTTCAGTGATGGATGCAGATCAACTCATGTTCATTTATCTTCAGCAATTCAATGTCACTTTTGAAAACAATCAAAATGATGGCTTCTGTCAGCTTGTGACCTCTGAAAACGGGTGTTACTGCTGAAGCGGTTCAAAATGGCTAAGGATGGGCTGTTACCCTGTCCCACCACCCCCACCCCACCCCCATCCCCACTCCCATTTCCGGGTCTCTGACCCTTACCTGCGTGGCTGTGAAATGATCTCACAGTCAGGCTGCTTCTCCTCTCCTCACTCAGGCAGTCTACATTGTCCACTGCAGTGTTCTCTCTATGGACAGGTGTCTTGTCCAGTTGCTATCCTAAAAATGGGCACATGGAAAGGCCCAATATAAGCCTGAGTCAACAGCCTCAACAGTATAATTACTCATTCAGAAGTAAAACTCTGTGGAATGTGGGTGGAAATATATAAAAACATGATGAGCCATTTAATTTTGCCAATTGTAGCAATTAGGCTAGCTCTCACACAATCTGCTCTCACAGCAGAAAGCCAGACAGAAGAAGTGGCAAACAGCCACTTGCCCACAGAAAGGAGAGGTCAGAAACTCTCCCTTGAGTGTTTGAGGTATCATATTGTTTCACCATCCATCTGAAGCTCTTTCTCTAAATTCCACAAGAAAAAAAAATCAGGCTTTTGCTATATCGTATGCAACGATCTAGCCCAGAAATGTAAACCTTCAGTCAACCCTTTGTGGCCTGTGTTCTGCTAAATAAGGAGTGGTTTAATGTCCCTGAAGTGTCTAATTGTTTTTGCTAAAATATTTTACTGACATAACTAATATACTGACATAACATGTCAGAACACTAGCTAAATCAAATTTTTGCTTTGGTTATTTTTTTCCTCTTAGATTTTCTTGCAGTTCCGTTCCCCATATTGAGAGAAGCTTTCCATGATGGAGAGCTTGTCATGTGCCTAGTGTGTGCTAAAGAGCTTTATATACGTGATCTCATTTAATCCTTACAAACATCTATGAGCTAAGTACCTTTTACAGATAACAAAACTTAAGCTCAGCGATATTAACAAATGCCAAAGGTCCCACAGCTAGGAAAAAGTGGAGCTGAGTGTCTTACACAACTTTTAACAATCACAAATTCTCCTAGAAGACCAAAGAATATTGTCCACCAGAATCTATTTCTGTTTTGGCAAGGTTTTAAGAGAAACAAAATCATAATCTGATGATCAAAGTTTTCCAAAAAATTCATTTAAAAGTCAAAGATATCTTTTCTTGAATGTCAACTGTAATTGAAAAATAAAAAAGTCAAAAATGACTTTCAAAATGAAAAGTTAAAAATAAAGAAGCCAGTGATGAGAAATGGAAGTCTCTGTCCCCTTTTAACTGAATTTTACTATAAACCCTGCGTTAGGGAATTACTAGGCAGATAAATGCTACTCTTCCATCCCAGACAAATTTCCTTCTTCATGGCCTTATTCTACACTAAAGTAAGTAATATATATAAATTAACCCTGATGGTTCTTCTCTTGTATTCTATACATATATGCTATTGTCATCCTGTAAGGCAGGCTGAAAAATAGCTAAATGCCACTACCTACTTTAAAGAACCTGAATGAAAGAGAGAGGAAGGAAGGAAGGAGAGAAGGAAGGAAGGAAGGAAGGAAGGAAGGAAGTCTTCAACAAATCTTTGAAGTGACATTATTTTATTTCATTGCCATAATTTTTCCCTAAATTTTATTTATTTAACATCTTGCAGGTCACAAGATTTAATATTTAGAAAGATTTTCATACCACTAGCTTGACCCATCATAGAACTGTAGGAACCTTATCTTAGATTGAAAGGGTAGATGCAAACAACATAATAAATGTTTGCCAAATATTTGTTGGCAATTCAACAAATATTTAAAATATAAACATATAAAATAATGTGTCATCTCTCTCCTCACCTTCAATGTAACAAGTCTGTGCTCTACAGGAAACAGAGTTATAACCCATTCAATGATGTTGTATAGTAAGCTGTGTGTGATGTTTGAACTGATGCTAAAAAGGTAGCTAATAATAAACCAAAAATTTTCTCAACCCTGACGATAATCAATCTGAATTTAACATATTAAAAATGCAAACAATCATCTATCTTCTTGCTTTGATAAGATTTAAGCAAATCTTATTAAGTTATATGACTCGTATTGATGGCCAATACATAGTCAAGTACAAAAGCAATCTTGCATTCCAGCAACTCACACTTGGTTATTACAATAGTAGCAGAATAAGAGTCTTTTGACTTCAGCGCTACCTCTTTTCTTCTCTACCACACTGCGTTTCTTTTTAATATCTACATTTAATTCTATACTAGAACAATAAAGAAACATAAGCTTTTCCAAGACTGTATTATGTAAGCCTCACAATTAACAATTGCCAAACACAATGACAAACACAAGGTAATGATATAAATCAGAGATAAATCAACAATGGATGACTGCCTATAAAAAGAAATTTTATAAATGTTTTTATGCCATTCCAGCACTAGATATTTTTAAATCACGGTCACATAGCAACAACAACAGCAACAACAAAAATGAGAATACTCTCTTGGCATATAGTATTTGACTCAAAACAATCATCACTGAATAAATTTGGGGGGTATTCCTGAGAATTTCTTTTAAGAAGAAATTAGGATGCCTCTAAAATGCCTGAAGAAGTTTCGAATAGGCCAGTTCTCTGATATTCAGGAAACATCCTTCATTAGCACTTACAATGTCTCCAGCATAGCAGTTATTTAGGAATAACAAATTTCCAGGCATGAACTTCAGTTATTGTATGTAACCTGGGAAGTTGGCTTAAGCCATACTTCTGATTCCCAGAAGAGCAGCCCTGTGTTGCATTGCCATCAGGAGTTGAGACAACCAGACCCAACCTGCGTGGATCCTCATGCTGGGTTACACCCAATCCGAGTCTCTCCTACATATGGCCCAGAGTGACTGGCTTCTCAGAGATCTAAGGAGTTTATTGTTTAAAGATAACTATTAACTTGCATAACTAATTTTCTCTAAGTGAATAATTCTGGTTAGGGAATGTGTAAACCCATAGGTCCTCTATGGAATAAAACAAAAGAGAGAAAAAAAGCATGTTAATTTTTACAAGCACAGAATAATTCAAAGAATTCCTTGTTGAGTCCCATTAAACAGCAATAAAACAGTTGACCTAATAATGGTGCGAGATCCCAGGCATGATTTCTAGGTTTATGCCACCATTGGTGGTTCACAACCCTGATGACTGTTGCTGTTTTAGCCACTGCACCACACAAGAAGAGTATATTGGGTTGTTGGAAAATTCATGACATATTTTTTCTATGTTTTTCATTGCAAAAATGTGTCATGACTTTTCTGACAATCCAATAGTTACTGATATGATGTTTGCAGAGCAAAAATCATGGTTAACAAAACAGATCAACATAAAAACTAATTAATCAACTTGGTAAGCAAATATTACCAGCATAGTACCAACACAAAATGTTCTCTTGTGTTATTATTGAAGCCTGTCACCTACTCTTACTAGAATTTCAGAAAATGTAAGGTTTCCCCATTTTTATTATACTTCCACCTACCAAATTAAACTGGTGGCCCCCTTCTCTCTCTCTTGTTTGATTTGCATTAAAATAGAACTAATCAAATTCTTATTTCATTTAAATGCTACAAATATTAACAAATGGAGATGTTGTGTTTCAGTTAATTTAATTTACTGTTCTAGTAGTATTCTGGCATGGAGTTATTTATTTCAAATTAATTCTTAATTATTTCAAATTAATTCATTTATCAGTAAAACACCCCTAAGTGTGCTGAAAATATATTACAGGTTTTTATTATTTTAAGAAATTCCTATTTTGATTACAAACTGGTAGAACATGTCTTAATCAACACAAGCATTTCAATCCGTTGTGATTCTTGAGCACTTCTTTTTGGGTGTATTAGGTACTGCTGCATTGACTCAGCAGTTAACCCGTGACCTGTGACTTTCTATCCAACCCACTGTGAGTTCTTATTCTCTTCAACTTGGGAGCAAAAGCACATCATCCTGTAACCAAAGGAGACCTGTCAGCTACTCAAAGAATTGTCATTTTATATCCTTCTTTCAAACAACTAAAATATTCACTTCCCCTTATTATCCTTTCTAATGTATTGTACATAGAAAAAGGAAATGGATCTCTGAAATATGTTTTGAAAGCCTGGGGTGAAACATTTTCCTTGGTCTGAATCAGAGGCTTGGTGTTTTGTGAAAAGAAAGAAATCTCTTCCTGCCCTGTGAAAGGGGGAGGGTGGGCGAGCAAGCCAGTCACACTCAGAAAGCAAGCCTGGTCTGTCACAAAGCTGCATATTGCTGATGCCACTGATTCCTTCTTTTTTTTACAGAACCATCTTGGAACTTGTCAAGCTTTACTGAAGGTGATTTGCGTTAATTAATTCAACAGACCCTTTAATCTTGCAAATTCTTGACTTGTAATATTGTAGCCAAGCTACTGCAAGGGAAAATGAATCAGTTAGTGGAAAGGAGCACTTCGTTCCATGTCGTGCGGTGATGTGCCCAGGCCAGAAGAGAAAGACCCCTGTGAGGCAGAGCACTAATGAATTCGTGCTACCTGCTTCCTCATCATTCATGCTATGAATATTCATCCACTTCATTAGTTTTGGCCAGTAAGCACTGCTTTGAAAAAAAAAAAGGAAAAAAAAGTCAATGGATTCCTGGGGGCTTGCATAGCTCAGAGAATGGGTACTAGGTCATAAGACTTACTTTAAATGGATACAAATCTACTTGTGTTTGGAAACGAAAAAAAAAAATCATTGTCATCTGTTTAATGATTGATCTCTCTGAGTACAATTGCTGCCCTTCATTTCTTGAGAGTACTGTCGTCAGCACTGTAATAACCAGTTTATAAAAACTGAATTTATAATTCCATTTCAGAGGTAAAAACTGCATAGATGTACCGGTAGCTATTGAATAATTTTACTCCTGCCTTCCTAGGTGGTGACATTGCCAGTTTCGAACTGAGATTCATTTGTGTGTGGAATTGGCTCTCCTGTTGCTTCTCAGACCCTTGCAAAACCTTGGTTGTAAGGTCTAAAATCACCAATCTCACATTCTTAATGTACTTAAAAGTAAACAGGTAGTCTCATAATTAAAAATTGTGAGTTTTTTTTCCAATCACTTCTCTGTTTAAAGAAAACTTTGAGCTGCGAGGTAAGAATGAATTTACTTCACATGGAAGTATAGTTTCAGAGTTTGCGAGGAGTCAGGCATGCATACATTCTTATCAAGTTTTCTGTCTAACCTTTTGATATAACTATTCTAGGAGTTAACCCCAAATGAATGAGTGAAAGTCATTGGAGTTATCTAATAAGCAATCTAACAGAAAAATTAGAAGAAGCAGGGATCATTTTTCTTGTGTTTCAAAGATGTTTCTTCTTCCTAAGTGATCATCTTGGTGATTATCTCCAAGATGTACCAAGAGCTACTGAGCGACAGTCCCAGTACAGGTGCCAGTATTGTGCTGCATCCCCTACACTGGCAAGTCATTTTTCAAAACTAGCTCTTGGCACAAGCACTGAAATTTAATGGTAAAAAGTGGCCTACCACCATGTGACTTATTTTCAATTGCAAGGCAATGAAAACTAACAAATCGAAGAAAATGTTAATTTCCTGAACTCCAAAGCCAAAATTGACACAAAGATACTCTGTAATGTACAATGAGTTGGTTGACTGTGGGGACACAGGAGCAATAAGCAATCCTCTTAAAGTAAGTTCATGAACGAGAGTGACTGTGAGTGGTATTGGGACATAAGCTTTCAATTCATGTAGAGGTCCAGGTGTGGTGACTGAAGAGGAAACTTCTTAGTGGCTCATCAGTAATATTTGCCTTTTTATAGAGCAGAAGTTGCGGTAGCCCCTGCCATTTTATCACTATGACAAAAGATGCGTCTGTTTATGACAGGCCAAGGCATGACTGAAGTGGAAAGATAGAGATGTCAGTGGTTTCATGTCTGAGACTAACTCTATCCTTAAGGGAACTTTCCCGCATGACAGTCCTTCTTGGTCATTGGGCCCTACGCCGCAAGCTGGCTCTGCATGCCAAGAGCTTCTGATGGATTATAAAATGAGATATTTTAAAGAATTTTAAGTACTCTTGCTTGTAGAACATGAACCATTGAGTTATCCCTCATGTTAACAACAATGAGATTCAGGGTTACCATGGCCTTACTCATCACCCCATTGTAAATATACCATGATATCACAAGAACCCCTGTGTTCAAATTCATTAAACTAGGTTTCAAGTATTAGCTGAATTGTTTAAACATTTTTAGATCTTGATTCTGCCATCACCTAGTCTGTGCATCTATCCCCAAATTAGAAAAATATTTCTTGTGGGAATAATTTTCAGAATAATGGAAGTGAAAAAGAGTGGACAGTTAAGCAATTTGTCAATGTAGACAAAACTACTAGGCCACTGATAGCCCTGAAGCTCTGATTTTTCCTCATTACTGAATTTCTTTACATTGGGGGCTTTCAACATCTGAATTTTCTGGATGATTGCTAAACCATCTTCACTAAACTGCAATAGACACTATGTTGTTATTAAATAATAAAGACTGTCCACATAAATGCAAATATCCCAATGAAAAGTGAAGAAGTATGTCACTCAAGGAGCAAATTTGATCTTTGTGATGTCAAACATCTGGATATTTGGGAAAATCCAGACGTTGAATCGTGCAGTTTTCATCTGGTTGTCTGGTATTGACTAGAGAGACAGAAAATACTCAGGTGTTATAGGTAATATAATTTAACTTTCTTGTGCAGTAATCTATGGGTAATGATATTCTGCTGCTAAAAATCTCTTTGTCCTGCAAAGAGAAATAAATAATGCAGAGCAAATGCTATTTAATTTTTATTTGCTTTCAGCAAACACATGAATGGGAGAGGTTTGAGAGGCTGTCCTGGGTGTATTCAGATGTTTTTGCACCGCAGACCTCTTTCAGAGTGACAGTCCTGGAGGCCTGCCACTCGATCCCTTCCTGGCAGCAAACCTTTTAATTCAGCCCTTTTTTAATCTTTCATTATTTTATAATTGCCTCTCTGCTCTTCACATACTCTTAATCATTCACAAAGTTTACTTGACAGAATTGTCAAAGGATATACAAATTTGTTAACTTTTATTCTTCAAATCAGAGTTTTAATTTTAAGGATTTCTTATGCCTTTAATGGTAAATACAGTTTAAACTGCTTCATGTAATTATTTCATGGCAAATTTCATGGTGTCTATAGAAGTAAAAGCTATTTTTCCCAAATTAAAAAAAATACACTTCTTTTGTTTGGTTTGCATTGTTGATGTCATTTTGATTGCCAAGGACTAACTGGTTATCACACATTGGAATATTAGTGTTTTCTTTGTAGTCACAGGAAAAAAGAAAAAGATGACATCGAAGGGAAATTCACTTACCGGAAGGAAAGTTTGAGATATTCATACAACTCTTGTATTTATGATTACTTGTGGACGTTTCTTCCTTGTTTCATCTCATTCGGCTCTGGATTGGTGAGCGTGTGTATTTTCTCAAATTGTGTGCTTACCTCACTTACTGTTCTGAAGCTGGGCAGAAAAACAGGCAAGCTATTCAGACCAATTTTCTTTTAAGTGCGCTTATGTTGCAGAACTTGCTTCCGGCACTGACAACAAGCAGATACACAGAGCCCTGGAAGATATTCAGCTATGCAAACGTCATAAGAGGATTTCCAGAGAAAATCTGAAAGTTTGTAGGTTCTTAGGTAGTGTTTTGATTGTGTCAAATTCTATATTTAGTGACAACTTAGAATGACTTCATGGGCAGGCAGTCCCCTTTCTTGTTGGGTCCCTCCACCCAGCAGATGCAGAAGTTTCCCCAGAAATCAAATAGATACTTCACCTTGTGTACCAAAGGCTTCCAGCCACTGGGTGTCATCGCTCTGTGCTAATTGTGTTTTGTAAAGTCTTTCGAGGACAGGCCTTGTTGGCTAGTCACAGTCTTATAACAGGCTCCAGGAGACAGAGCTGCTACTCCCAAAACCCATCTGACTTTACTTTTTCCTTGAGATTTTTACTTCACTAAACCCTTTTCCAAATCTTTTTACCTTCATGTTATTGACAGAATGTTTAGTTCAATGTTTAGGTGAATTTGCAATAAAGAGGCAATCAGTGGGCAACTACAAAAACATTAGGTTCTTGGTTTTTCTTCAGTTATCTTTTATTATGTGATAATTGACTGGAACTTACGGTTTACTAAAAAACTAAAAGTCCCTGTGTTGAATATAAGGACTGTTTTACATATACTTAAATATATTCTATGACACAATATTTTTTTACACTATGGAATATATTTCTTTCTGGAGACAAAGGCATAGAGGGGTGTGGTTCAATGATGGGAACTCTGGGACTCTGAGCACTCCAGTCCTCATCCTTGGTCAGTCACATTAGCCTCAGAATCTCACCTTACAGCCCATTTTTCACATATGTAAAAGAGAGATAATATTTATCTACCTACCTCATAGGGATGTTGTGAAGGTTGATTGCAGTTCTCAAAGTATGCTGACACTTGATAACTAGTATTAGCACAAAGGAGATCTGTGTGTGGCCCTGGAATAGACTATGGTGAAGGAGGTGGAGCCAGCTGAGAAACACAACAGCAATAACTCACCAGACGAGGCATGTAATTATTCTTGATTGCTTAATGAAAGTGAAACTTTTTCTTCGAAGGTCTACATAGAATTTTGTTTTAATTATCAACTTTTTAATGAGAAAATTGACTCCTTTCATACAAACATTAAGAAGCTTCATATAGAATGACAGTTTTCCTCTTAGATAAACTAAATTTTACAAAACATTTCATAGATGTGTCCAGAAAACTTGGCTCCTTCTGATGAGTAAGGAGGTTGCATGCATGCCTGATCCCAAGCTACATTTTTCAGAACGCGTGCATGATACCAGAGTTCAATACTAATTGCCAAGTGGTATTCTGGAACGCTCACTACCAGGAGGGAACATTTTTAATAGATCCTACTGAAATTAGATTTTTGTGTTGTTTACAGTGAGATCCTCTTTCAGCCCTAACATGATATATCTCTCCCTTTACAACCCAGTGAAAGAATGTAAAGCTTTATTTCTACTTGGAACTCCTGAGTTGATTAATTTTTCAGATTATAAATATGTATTAAATATTTCAAAGAAGTGTTTACACAAGGGCTTCAGCTACACATATACATATATGCTTACATGTACACAGATAGGAGTACTGCTAAAGGACAAAGGGTGGGAAAAGCACCACAAGATTATCCTGGAAAACTTCCCCTCAAAGTAACATGTTTTCTTTTGCTTTAATAGCTAGTCCTGGTAATAACTAGTGCTAAATAACATGATTTGTCATTTTTGAGACATGGAGGCAATATTGTATAGTAAGAATACACCCATGAACTATACTAACAATGCAGATAATGTTTTAATGATATGACTTCATGAAGCAAAGTTGTTGTACATAAATATTATCATTCTGCCCTTATTTAATAATTATATTCCTTTGCAAAACAAATGTGCATGCTCTTGAAAATATGAAATAAGTTTTCAGAAAGTTTATCTTGATAAGTGGGTTTAAAATCATGTTGTACCTGGAGTTGACATAATGTATACATTCAACACAATTTTTCTGGATTCCAAAATCTAGTTGGCAGTGGTATATCAAAGGCTTAAAATTTCAGATTGGTTGAACATTTCTAATGCATGGTATTAAGCTTTCAGAAGCATGAATCTAACCTAGGCAATTAACCTGATCCATTAAAAAAATTATGTCATCATGCCAGACTTAAGATAAGTCTTTTTATTTTTTTAGATTCAAAATATGAGAATAGTGAGTCAGAATAATTTGGAATTCTCTGATTTTTTTTTCCAGTTCCTAGCATCAATACTTTTACAATCAAAAGTGTGGCAGAAAATCCTTATTGCTATGTAGGGAAATATCCATGTCCTTCCTTTGTTTTTGCACAAGAAAACCGAAGTTGACTAGATGCAAGGGCCTGGAAGTAGGAAAAGGCGTGACAATTTTCAGGTGGACTAGCCGGGAAGAAATGAGGGCTGTGGACAGAATATGTGGTTGTGAGATTTTACCACAAAAGAGCAAAAACAAAACCTAACAGTGTTAGAGCTGGACAATTTTTTGAAATGGTAGAATCTAAATTTTAGAAGAAAAATCAAGGGGAGACAACATGTTATTAGACATAAGCTATACATCTAATTACCGGGGGAAAAGACATTCGAATGCCCCATGTATTTTACTCTTTTTAAGACTTTCCAGCCCCCATGAAACTCTCCCGAGTCTTCCCTGAAAATAAGGGACTCTTAGAAAACTAGTTTTTAGCAAAGATAAATGTGATTACACAGCCGTGAAGCCGTCATTATGTAATCCTCATGCGTGTGATGCTTTTTTAAATGTAGTTGTCAACTTTCATGACTACTTCCAGTTAATATTTTATCCCATAAACAAATGGTTAAAAAAACAAACAAACATGGAAAATTCTCTTGCTCAAAAGAAGTGACTCTCTTTTCATATCTAGATGATATGAAATAGCTGAAAAATGGAGCTTTTGGTCGATTGCTTATTGAAGGTCCCATCTGAAGCCTCTCTTTAGTAAAGAGGCCAGGCAGGAAGAGAGAGGACCTTGGATGAGAACCTTGCTCTACCAAATTGTTCCTGCTTTTCTTCTCAGTTACCAGGCAGTTCAGGAAGTAGCCGAGAGAGAGAGAGAGAGAGAGAGAGAGAGAGAGAGAGAGAGAGAGATGATGATGATGATGATGATGGAGGATACGCAAATTTGGTTTTTCCCATTCTCAGAACAAGGAGAGTAACCAGTGAGCCAGAGGTTCCCTCCCCCTTTAAAGCCAAATAGAATAATGAATTTAGAGCTAAGACAAAAATGCTGTACAAGTAAGCACAAAATCATCCTTCCTATTATTTTCTCAGTTTTTACTAAATTCTTCTTACAGTTTAGATCAGAAGTTTCTGTTGATAATAACTAATGCCACTTTATGTTATAGCTTCAATGAGGAAATGATGAAAGCATGAGTTATAAACAAAATTGCTGGGGATACAGACTTCTTTTGTACAGACATCTTACCAAGCAAGCAAATTGGAAACAAATACTATTACCACTAATATTCTGGTTAAATTAATAATATCTAATAGGAAAACAGAAGCATTTTGCTCAGCATTATACCACTGTAAAACGTAAACCTGCTTCCAAATGACAAGGATTTTTGCTACTGACATTTGTTCTTCATTCTCCAGTTATTTTAAGTAAGTTTCACATCTAACTACCTCAGCTACTGTTGTTTAATTTAGAAACATGAAATCATGCACTTTGTAACCAACAATTTTTTTATTTACAATTTCAAAAGGATACTTGGTGCAAAGCAATTTTCAAAAATTTGTATATGACATAAGCAACTCAGCCTCAGAGGTTGTACTTCATTTTGTTCGTTTGTTTCTAAATTCAATTTGGGGTAAAATCCTCACTTCCACTCAACACCAAGGGAAGCTGCTCTATATTTGCTTAATTTGCCTTAAACATTTTGTGCTCCTTTCCCTGTTCTGTTTGTTTTTTTTTCGTTTAAAATCTATCTCTGAAAAGAAAATGTAACAGGTGGCAGATGAACAGCAAACTGAAGAGAATGGACAAATCATTTCTCAGTTCCCTGTTGTCAACTCTCTGCATGACATTCTGATTACGCGGAATTGCCATCCCTGTGTTTCTCTCTCCTGTGACCATTACAGAAATAAGGTCTGAGAGACCCTGTGTGTGTGTTTAGGGAATGGTGTAGACATTTCCCCCAGTACGAGCACAGTGCCTGGACCCGAATGATAATCTTGGCAGTTCTTGTGCTTTTACTTTGTGAACATTGTACAAATGTATTTGGAATTTTATTTGAAATGAAGAATTAAACTAGTTATTAATTTTTTTCCTTCTTGTAAATATATATATATATATATATATATTCAAACTCCATGTATCCAAACATTCCTTTAGCATTCAGAGTGTAAGAGTGTCTTTATTGGCTAGAGGCCACTGTCTCTGGGCCACAATCCCATGTGCTCTAGTGGAAAGCACAGTATGTGGAGTATTTGATGTACTACAGTACCATGGTTATTTTGGTCTGTTAAGTAAGTTGCAATTTGTGATGAAATGAAGTGGAAAGTAGTGCTTCATAATGAACAAATTTCCTTGGTTACATGATTTTTCTTGTAAAACTTTTTAAAAAAAAACTTGAAATTTTATATATTTGGATTTTGTAGATTTTTTTTTATTTTATTGCAACACAAGGTACCAAAATCATTAAATAAAGTACACTGTGGTCATTTTAAAAGAAGTCTGAGTCCCTGATTCTTTCTAAGTCTAGAAAGAGCAGGACACTGGGGGTCTAAGATCGGAAGATAGGAGGAGAAGGCATATTCAAAAACATAGTCCCAAGACAATGTGATTTAAACCTAAAAATAAACAGAAATGAGATTGTCAAATCTGAACTAAATTTAAAATTAAATTATATAGATTTCTAGGATATGTTTTACTTATTTATATCTGAAAAGTGCTGAAGAATGTGTCCCTAAAACCACTGTAAAAACAAAGAGATGTTTCAGATCACAAAGAGGCTTAAAAACCAAAATAATTTGTTTTAGCATTAATAAAAGGAAAAAAAGTCAATGAAAAAACATACTTTAAAAAAATGATGCGTCTAAGTGCCTTATTTTTCTACAAAATTAAGATTTATGCTTTATATAATTGTTTTTCTTAAAATATCCTAAATTTTTTGTTCATTTTGTTTTACTGGTTTACAAAAGCCTTCCTTTGTAAAATATCAAAAGGAAACTATAGCATGAACTCTGCCTATAAGTGTAGAAGCTACCATGGATAACAAATAGAAACAGATAAATAAAACTGTTAGAAGGAACAAAGAAATGAAAAAAAATTCAAGAAATCACTTCTTTCTTTTTAAATTTATTAGTTTTCTTTTGTCCTGACTATAATAGTAATGTATGCTAAATGTAAAAATTACTTGATGCTCACCATTTTGATATACTTCTTTCAGCCTTTTTTGTAAACGTTTGTATTTTTCCACTATGATTTTTAACAAACTTTTTTTTTAAGATTTTTTTTTTTAAACTGGGGAATTGGGAGATGGGAACAGCGCTGGGGAATTGGGGGAAAGGGAACAGACAAGTTGCTGTCCTTTTGTTCTTCAGTCTAGTTGTGGAGGACGTTGCTTCACTGGCCCAAGTTGGCACCATCATTGCGCTCTTCCCGGGCAGGCAGATCAGTCGCCGGCTTCTGGACGGCCGCTCACTGCAGCTGCTGGCCGCTCACGCTGGCTGCTGGCTACACACGGTAGCCCATGGCAACCCACTGCAGCAAGGGCTGCAGCCTACGCCATCGCCGGGGACTCACAGCAACCCAGCTCCAGGTTGAGCTGTTGTTCAGCATCTTAGCTGTGGAAGGCAGTGTCACTGTCCCTCACATATGGGATCCGAACCGGGGCCCTCTGGCGTCCCAAGCCAGCTCTTAATCAATGTGCCACTTGGCCGGCCCCAAACATTTTTTTTTAATTACAACTGTTTGACATGCATGGTATTGGAGTTATGACTGTGAATAAAACACATTTTCTTCTGAAAGAATACAGTCAAGTAAGGAAATAAGTCCAGATACACTAGTTATATATTATTTAGTGGAAAAAGCAAAAGTAGAGCTCTGTACAGACTGCACTAGGAGCATCTAGCGCAGCCTGCATGAGAGCTGGGTGGGGAAGGAGCCACAGCGTGGAAAGGTCCTTGCAGCAGCGCACGGAGCTGAGCTCCCACACCACCCTGGCTGAACCAAAATGGACATGAGCAAAACATAAACTTCTCTTGAGTTAAGCTACTTGTATTTTGGGGTATTTGTTGCAGCAGTTAGCCTTTTCTGACTTTTAAAGGAGCAGTTCAGGGACCATTGATGTGCAATTAGCTCAAAAAGGAGTATGATGATCTCAACTCTCTCCACCTGAGGTCCAAAAACAAGGAGGAGAAGAAGTGCCTGTATTTTTATATGTTCTCTACAATGAGTAGGTATTATTACTGTAATCTGTAAACAAATAAAATTTATATTTAAGGAGAACTTTTTTAAAAAGTATATCATATCAATTCCTGAATTAGAATATTTAATTTGATAAGGAATGCAGTTTGCCCCTAATAATCTAGAAACATCATGTAACTCTAAACAAAGCCACAAAGCTCTACAACTTGAAAAGCTGATTATAAAGTTTATAGAAAGAATGAAAGTATTAGAATAAGCAAGTATTTCATTCTTAAATAAGAGTATTAATGGAACTTTGCCTTCCCGGCCTATTATAAGTTACATAAGTGTGTGCTACCAGCCAAGAATATATTTAAAAGTCCAGAAATAGAATCTGTACATATTAGATTAATGAATTTAGTATATGATAATTTTACATAAATAGAAAAAGGGTGGCCTCTTCAATAGACAGACAGGATAACCAGCTTACCACTGGTGACATCTCTTACCCCAAAATTGATCATATTGATTAACGATATAACTATGAAAAAGTACAACTACAAAAAGTATATATATCACCTGAGATAGGAAATACTTTCTAAGTTTTATTTCAAATATAAAATAGAGCTAGAGGGAGGGAGAGAGGAAAGGAGGGAAAGAGGCAGAAAGAGAGAGAGAGAGAGAGAGAGAGAGAGAGAGAGAGAGAGAGAGAGAATGAATAATCGATAAGGATGTAAGCTAAGGAGGGGTGTGTGTGTGTGTGTGTGTGTGTGGTGTGTGTGTGTATGTGTGTGTCTATTACTTCCCTTAAAAGAGAAACACAGTTGCAAAAAAAAAGAATCAACTGAAAAAATAGTGAACCTACTAGATTAGTCAAATATTCTAAAATGTATATACAAAGATGTTTATAACAGAGAAAACTGGAAATAACTGAAAAACAAACAATAAGACATAAACTATGGTACATCCTTATATGAAACACTCTGTAACAACTAAAGATAATAAATACTTTAAAAGTGTCTTTATTTTATTAAATGACAATATTAATTGTTAAAACTTCAATTTGAAAATAAAGAAGGAAGAAACAATTGTATTTGTAAACTATAAACAAAAACACAGTAGTACATTAGAATACCAAGCAAACCACGGTATAATGAGCAAAGAATATTGAGAAAAAGAAATTGGCGCAGCTACCTGAGACTAGTCTTGTCTGACACACCAGTTGATCAGTGAGTATGAAATTGGCAACTATGCTGGGTGTGAATTGAATTTATTTGACAGATTTTTTGAAAAAGATGTAATTGTATAGGAGAGCAGTTGAAAGTTTCTCTGAAGAATTTGTTCCTAGAGGTAGTTTACAAAAAGTGATTGGATATGGAAAGGCTTTCGGAAAAGGCCGTGGGTTTTCAGACAATCAAAGAATGGACTAAAAGAGATGAGAAATGGCCACCTCAAACATGCATGCCAGAAACGAGGATGGTTGAAGGAGTCTTGCAAAGAAACCACTTGTGTGTTATTCAATAGTGTCAAAATTATAACAGTCCCTACTATCTGCAATGGGATCACAGTCAAATAAGAAAATCAAAAGCCAACAATTATCTAAACAATTTAATTATGTCAGTGTTGTCTTTAAAATATTACTACTTCAACTCATTTCCAGGCAATTCCCTTACCATTTCTCTAAATATGACTAAATATGCCCTTGCTACCTTTGTATCTCACAGCCAAAATGATAGACATAGCATCTGGCCCCTCCTCCTGAAAATCAAAATCTATCTGTATTGACAACCATCCTTGCTACTGTCTCAAGGAGACACCCCTACATCTATCTCCAAGGCTTAAAAATACCACCTGAGTTTTGTAATTCTTTTACTCTTTGCTTTATTTATAGGACATTACTTCGTCTACTCTCCCCTGTCTTTTATATCTTTCCAGAGACCATTTTTATGCTGCCTACCATAGTGCTGAAATCAGCCAAGACAAAACCAAAACGCTAGATTTCTGCCCCGGCTCTCCCTCTCTCTCCTCCTCTTCCTCGTCCTGTCTTCTCCCTTTTCCTTTGTTCTATTCTTCTTAAAGAAAGGATTTACAAATTTTACATTACCCATGCAACAGTACAAAAAAATAAAAGTATAAGTTTCTTCAAAGTAGACATTATACCATGTTTTTTTTAATGGGGTGAATAAATGAATGTTACCATAGACAAATTTGTTAAATTCTTGAAAGCTAACTTTTCTTTCTCATCTAAAGGACAGTGGTTATGGTGAAGCTAGAGATGTTGTACAGGAATCATCTGGCACAGTGGCTATGACCTAATAGACAGTAATAATTAAAAGATGTTACTGTTACTGAATTAACTCTCAAAAATAAAAATAAGTGAAGAGCTTTGGGGTACAGTTATTTCACTACTGATCTTGGTCCATTCGTTTTTGTCTTCAGGAGAAACATGTCAGTAATTGCATAAGATTATTTGTTAGTATTATTGATTCTGCTTACCCTTTGACTTCATAGACTGTATAAACTCAATATAGACACCTCTTATGAGACATGCAAAACTACTGTGAATGTCAACACCATCAAGTATTGCTTGGTGAATCTTTCCAGTGGGTGAAATGAGAATGTGTTCTGCTCTTACTCCTTCTCTTTACCTTGCATCTTAATGAACTAATATTTATTTATTTGTTTTTAATTAAAGTTTATTGGGGTGACAATTGTTAGCAAAGTTACATAGGTTTCAGGTGTACAATTCTGTAATACATCATCTAGATATCACATTGTGTGCTCACCACCCAGAGTCTGTTCTTCTATCACCATATTTTTTATCCCTTTTACCCTCATCTATCACCCCCCTACCCCCTTACCCTCTGGTAATGTTTATTTTTGATAGATTGAATGCATCCTTTTTCTTCCTACCCAAGTCATTTATTTAGAAATAAACATTCTGTGTTCCACTGAAATTATTTTACTGGCACGAACTAGGTCAGGCCTTTACAGACAACCTGCCAGTTAATTACCCTTTGACTAAGTAGACTAAGATTTATACATCTAGGTCATAAGTGTTGTAAATATTCTCCAAAATCTAAGCAACATTTAAATATATGTAGCAAGTCATTATGTTCAATTATCTAGGATACAATTTGTTTAATTGGAGGAATCATTAGAAAATGACATTACTCAAAATTATGATTTTGGGGGGTACACCAACTTTAATGTATTTGAGGTTAAATTCTCAATTACGTAGACATTTGGGTTTCTATTAACAATTTTTCATCTGTCGATGGGAATTCAAAATGGTTTTCTGAGCAACTTTTTTTACCCTACATACCAGGCCTCCTTCTTCCCACGTCTGGGTAAACAGAGAGTGATATTGCATTCAGGCACAATCTTTTGAATCTATAAAAAGATATCAACCTTA